GGGGGGGGGCCACCGGGAGTCACACTCAGAACCTTGCGCTTGCCAGGCAGGTGCTTGTGCTGCCGAGCTATATCCCCTGCCCCTAATCTGTAAGTTGTAAAGAACACTTGTTACTTTCTTACATAAATGTTGAAATAATCTTTATAACACAATATTGTATGGATTTAATGTTGTACATTTTTAATCAATCTTGATGTGGCCTACATTTATACTCAGAAGCTACTAAGATACAATGCAATTACAATGTGAGGTGTATGTTAAAAAGTGAATCAATCAACTTAAATGAACTCTTGTTCCCAGTGATAACATACTACCCTCTAATTAAATCAGCTACAATACCTGCGTTTGCAAGGATCACTGTGAAATTTATTTCCAAATCCAGAATTAAAAAGTGGGACTCCTTATAGTCTGGATTTTATCTTCTCTGATACCTGGAATTAATGTAATTCTTTCAGAAGTCAAGTGACTTGTCAAATCAAAAAAGAATTTTTCTTGAAGTTCACCTAATTCATTAATAACTCTTACCCTTTATCCGAAGGATTTTAAAGATATCAGCTAACTAAACAGAGGGCAAAGAAATCAGAAATCTTTGAAGCAGGCAGGTAAATGGAACTTAAACAATTTATCCCAAACTAAGATATTTAACATGGCTACAAAAGAGTCAGAGTAACCAAACATTGTTTTTGGGTTAATATGTAATAAGTTGCTTTTACAGAGGACCAGAGAGGAGGACAGGATTCCAAAAAAACTGAACGCCTGTCAAACAAGTGAGAGATGTATGTATCTAAATCTGTTTGAATCTAATAAAGATATCTATATCTATCTATCTATCTATCTATCTATCTATCTCTATATATGTATATATCCAATAAAGATGGACTAAAATTGCCATCAAGAGACTATGAATGGATTTCCTCTTTATTATAGACATTAAGATAAATACCTAATGAATTGACCTCAGAGACTTGGGGAAGACTTTAATGCTTTCTTGATATCTAGCTGTACTCTAACTCTCAAAATAACTGACACAGAAAATGGAGTCAAGTAAATAGTGCAAACAGAGTTGTAAATTTTGTCCTAATCTGTGGAAATAAACTTCTCTCCTGCTTCCATCCCATGGATAACTTTCTATGATAAGCTTTGTTAGTCTAAGCCTATATTTCAAGTGACATACTACATGCAGATAAACCAACAAATGTATTTTAGTTTCTATGTTTTATATAACCATATTTATACAAAAAAATGAAAAGGAAGTATATAAATACATAGACAATGTAGTGCTGGTAGTATGACCAACTCCTGAGAACATAAAATCACAATGCAAAGTGAATCCAAGTAAACAGAAAAGTATTCACAGCATGAATAATGGTGAGAATACATACACAGGCATACTGAATAAACAATGTCAAGCTATACACATGCACTGGAGACAGAATAGATTTTTTTTAATGCATTCATTCAACAAATGCTAAATGGTTAATAATGTAAGGCACTTGAGTAGCCACCAGGCTTTAGGTCCTGTTCTAGTCTCATTGTTAGCTGAGTTACCATTGGCAGGTTAATTAGTTAGGACTGTTGTTTTTTACATCTATAGACTAGGTTAATGTTAATATATTCTAAGTTATTAGGAAAATCAACAAGGTGACGTCTTCAAGATAATATTGATAAATACTTAATGGGCACCTCACCTCTTTATTTAAGATTGTAAAATAAAGTTATGGCAAATAAATAACGGAAAAGTGATGTTATAAGACAATAAGTCACAATCAACTACAAAGCACTATAAATAATGATCCCAACAAGGCTTAGGGCATAAGACAGTGTCAGGTTAAGCCCATGACAACATTCTCTGAGCAGGTGTTCTTTTCTGCTACAAGGTTACATGAGAAGTTTAGAGCCACAGAGATTGCAAAATGAATAAAACAGTACCCCTGATGCTTGAGGAAATACTGGAATGTTTCATACCAACTCCTGGTCAAAATCACTCTCCTAACAAAAACCCCGATGATTCACTGTTCAGTATCTTCCCAGAAGATAGGATAGGAGAATATAAGGAACTATACTGTGAAGACTTTCACTAGATTTCTGGAAACTTTTCTATGCCATAAGAATTCTGAAGTGTTAAAACGGATTGCTGAGAAGGCTTGAGAGTGTTCTCCTCTGTAGGTCTTCAAACCGGGATAGATAGAGTCCATCTGATCTGCCTGCCATGAGAGTTTAAAATCAGAGCCGTGTGAAGATTGATGGTGGAAATCGCACCTTCCCAAGTGCTCTCTGCCAGTAGAACTTTACATAGTACCTTTCACAGCCCCTCATCTGATGGTTTAAAGAACCCTTCTATACCCTGGAATAAAAAAGGGTAACAGTATTTCACAATTGTGAGTTCTGAGGAAAACTTTAATAATGTCATGATGAAACATAACATCCTTATTACTTCTCAGTTATTTCACTAAGCAAGCTACCTGCATACGTCTTTCAACCAGAAACAGTTCTCTTGAATCTGAGGTCTGAACAGCAGTTCTTTGAAATTTCCCTTTTCTGACAGACCAGCAGCACCTGCCATTTCTCAAGCAAACCACAGGACCTCTAAACAAGGCAAGGGATGAAAAAGGTTTCAAGTAAGGAAAACTACCATAAAAGCTCTTACCTATACTAGATAATTAAATATAAATATTATCAAGAACTAGGATTGTGTTTATTCAACAAGACCTGCTCCCTAAGTTATCATTCCAACAGCAATACTAGTAAATCCAATTTACTTTAGCATTAAGCAAAGTTTACTTTGGGGGGAAAAAAAAGTACACCTTCAAAAACACAATTACTTTTTATTATTTTCCTTTCAAATGTGCCTGTGACCCCATAGTGGACTTGGATCTGGATTATGTCCACCAAAATCAAATGATACCAGGCTTGAAGGCAAAGTCGTCGGTGTGCTCTCATCCTGGAAAACAGATGTGTTCAACAAAATATCTATTTGAGAAATTCACAGCTAATAAGCAGACGGTAATTGTTAAGAAGTGGAGAGGGGACAAAAATAAACAATAAGAAAAGCCCTCTGCAGTTAAAATGCTACTCTGGAGGATCTCCACACACCACTGGAAGGCTTCTCCCGCCAAGTCTATGGTAACTCCAGAAACTGTTGACTCAAAATCCTCACGTTGATATTAAGATCTGCACGCTGCTAAGAGAGGACCACCAGGAGACTTCTACCCCCAAGTCTCATTACCCACTGAGGAATAACAAAGCAGTTTTAAAATACTTAACTTTGAGATCTCTTATCTGAAATCCTGTTGGGAAATAGCTGTGTGTTTTAAAGATACGGTTTGAAAAAGAGCACATTAGAGCAGAAACAGTTCCTAGAAGTGCTCCAAATGACAAACCTTTTGTAAGTTGAATTCCCTGAGATTTGCGGAGGGGGAAAAAAAAAAAAAAGAAGAAGCAGCTGATCTTTATCAATTAATTAAAAAGAATGAAATACCAGTGGACAAAGGAGAGGAGAGCTAAGAAACTTAAGGAGATGGAGGGGCAGTTGCTTAACAAATCGAGGAGTTCTGGAAGAGGGACGCGAGGTGACAGGGATAGGAAAGTAGTCTTATAATTCACCACAGGTTCCGCCTTAACTCAGAGTGAACGCCTGGCTCTGAGCTGAAAAGGGCTCCCTCTATATACTTCCCTGCGCTGGTTCTGTGATACGCACCCCTCCCCTTTGGTCTTTCTTGACAATATGCAAATTTACATAAAAGTGTTCACTTCGGTGTAAAGACCCTCACTCCTACTGTTTGCATATCAATCAGAATAAAGCAGCAGTTCACCACGTAATGAAACTGTATTGCTGTAAGCTGTCTGCAAACGCTTCCCATCCATCCGCCGGTTCTTTTGCAAAACGCAGAAACTGATCGATGGGAATCCAGCGTTTCGCCTCTGCAATCCGAGGTCACTGAGGACTGCAAGCTCCTGGGTTTGAGCATCCCGCACCCTCACAGCATTTCCAAGCTTCCCTCGACCTCTCTCAGTTCAGTTCTCTCACAGCCAAAGGATTATCTCTCCCCGACACGTTTCATTCACAGAGCCCCAGAGAAGCTCGGATTCGGTTGGAGCTAAGAGCCGGAAAACGCGCATCCGGGCTGCTGAGCGAGTTGTTGGAGACTAAGTGTTACTACACGCTCTGGCGCCCAGCTGAGGTGGGGAGCTGCCGCGCTCCCTTTGCAGGGTTCGCGGGGTTCGCCGACCGATCCACCTCGGAGCCACCGGTTGGAGTTGACTCCGCTGCCCAAGAGCCGGCGGGTGGGCGGCGAGGCGGCTCGGGACCCGGCACCGCGCCGGGCGGCTGGGGTGTCTCCCCACCGGAGTGACCAACAGCGATCAGGACGCACAGAGGAGCCGCAGCCGGAAAGCCAGCCTCGAATCTGAAACAGGCACCCTCTCAAGTCCCCAACAGCGCCCAGATGCCGACGTCGAAGCGAGGGGGCCCGGCGGGTGTTCCCCACCCTGGCTCGGCCCACCCCAAGCCGGGCGCCCGGCTCTCAGCCTTCCGGAAGGACCCGGAGTGCAGACTGGGCTGGGGGAGCCCTCGGTGTCTCCACAGCCCCCGCCGGCGCGAAGGCGGGAGCAGAGAAGGCGCCACTCAGAGCGTGGCGCTGGGCGAACTGCGATCGCAGTTCTCCCAAGTTTGCGCGAGCGAGAAGCGCAGGCTGGGCGCCCTGCGAGGCGATCAGCTCTCCTCCCGAGGTCCCGGGCTCCCTGGGCCCTCACCAGAGGCAGAGGGGAACGGAGGGAAGGAGGGTGCTCCCGCGCAGCACACAATGAGGCAGCAGGGACCTACACCTTCCCCGGAGCCGGGCAGCCTCGGGAGCATCCACCGCCCATCGCGGGGACCCCCCCCCTCCGCAGCCCCGAGAGAAAGTGATCACCAACTCAGCAACAGGGCGAAGCGGGGCGCCCGGCAGCCCGGGGACCGGCGGCTGCGGAGTCCGCGGCTGCCCCCGCCGCGCCGCGCTTACCTGCGATCTCCTGGAAGGGGATGTCCGCCAGGCTGAATCCCTTGGCACCGTATGCCTGGCGGACCTCGCCGCAGCTCCGAGCCTTCACCTCCGCCCCGACCGGCAGGGACAGCAGCAGCCCCGAGAGGGGAAGAATCACAGCCCCGATGCAGGCAGGCATGGTGCAACATGCAAATCCAGCTCGGCGAACCCCGGGGCCCGTGCGCTCTTCACCTTGCCCCTCAAGCCAAAAGCCCGCCAGAGCCGGCGACGCGCTCCTCGCCGCTGCCCGGCGTCACCCGCTTCCGCCAGCCGGGAGGACGAGCCGCGCAGCCCTCTGGACCGCGCGCAGCAAACTTTTATAAGCCAGATGGAGGATGGCAAGCCAACCAGGGCTGGCTAGGAAGGCAGCGCCTTGCCTCGCTAGCCCCTCAGATCCGAGACGGCGCAACTGGAAGGGAGAGAAGTGTTTTTAAAAAGCCACCGCGGGGAGGGCTGAGGGGTCCGAGCTGCAATCGGAGTTCCCAGCCGAGCGCGGATCCCGGGCGCAGCGAGCCCGGCCGGCCGAGTGTCGGCGGCGGCGAAGGTGGCAGCGCGCGGCTCGGGGAGGAGGGACCGGCGGCGCGAGTGTGCGCGCGCGTGTGGATTCGGTGTGAGCGCGGGGCTCGCGGGGCTGTGTGTGCGTGGAGGTCTGTGTCGGGGATGTAGGGGATCCACGGGAAGCCTCGGCTTCGCACAGACTGAGGTAGCAGTGAGAGTCCTTCTGAAATAGGAAGAGAGAAATCCTGGAGACTGACGCGGGAGGCGAGGGAAGGAGAAAGGAGGGGAGAGGGAGAAACGTGCTCCTCCGAGCACAGCCGAAATTCAGGGGCCGAGCGGAAGGCAAAACCTGGACTGGATCGCTCCCTACCAGTGGGAGGGGGAAAAAAATTTAAAAAGTCAATGTTTTCTCATTGACTCCACAGCCTTCACGCTGATCTGAATGCTATCTAGAAAGGCACAGTATTTGTGAGTCACTAACTGATGTGATTAAACTGTATTTTTGTGGAGATAGAGGACATTGCAATTCCAATTGTTGCTCCTGTCCTAGTGAAACACAAAGCCAGGGTAGAAATAAACACGCAGGGGACCCCGGGGTAGCAGAGCTTAGCATTACCACCACTAATTAGTTTTCTGATCACTGTCTGGCTTTACTTGGGTTTGTGTTCTAAAGACAGGTAGTTTATGCACGCACTGGAGACCAGTAGTCCTTTATTTTTAAATTTGTGGTTCCGCACAGAATAAATTGCCTTCTTTCATTTCAAATATGAAATAGCCTTGGATCTGAAATCACTATGCTTAGGTTTGTAGTGTGTGGAGGAGCAGGGCATCAGAGTAGCACGGGATCACACACCCAGTGAAAGAGGGGAGACCGGGGGCCCCAGTGCAGGAAGGGAGACACCGGGGAGGGGACCGCGTCTTCCGTCTCTCCAAAAGCTCCTCACATCTTGCACTTTACGTTTTCTTCCAAGTTAGCAGAATTCTCAAGAGGGGAATCAATACACTTTCTTCTTCAAGTTCTTCCTTACACTAAACTTCTGTGAAATGGGATAAAAGTGAAAGCTTCAGGTTAGGCTAATTTCCATGGACTTTCTTATGCTAATACGCAAACTCACAACCGTCCCTGGGGCGGACTAGGTGTTAAAGCCTAGGGCACCAGGCCCTACTAACTAGTTTAAGAACCCAACCCACTGGGGGAAGGGACAGAGAGGAGAGAGAGACAGAGACACAGTCAGACACAGAGAATGTCTATTCACTTGTTTGGCCATACATGTGTTAAGACAGCCCATTATTTAGAACTTATTTTAGGTCAGTATCTATTTTCCTGGAGCTCACCTACAAAGCTACACAAACACGTTTTCCTGATGATAGGGTTAATGGCCAGAATGACTCAGGAAATTTACATCATTCCCTTTGTCAACAGCATCAGAGGCATCTTCATCAACATCACAACACAATAGCTGCATGTTGGTCTCTTTAATAAACAGTTCTCCTAACACAGGGGTCAGACTCTCAAGTTAAAATTCAAACTCATATAAGTTTTCAAAATGTTTTTAAAAACAGGTAGTTTACAAGGTGGCTTTTTCTTCTTCAAATTCCATGGCAAACACACACACACACACACACACACACACACACACACACACCTGTATTTCAGCACAATGTTTGCCATCATGTTATGGGTGCTAAGTGGCAGACCTTACTTAAATCATAACTTGTTTTTTGAAAAGCTTGAAACCAAGATAACAAAATATACCCCATGTCTTTGTGGGAAAAGGATTAAGGTTAGCAGCAGCAAGAAGAAAAGTCATTACTTCTGTAACATCTGATAACAGGACCGCCTATAAACTCAGGTTTCTGTCACAGTCAGGTGACTGGCACTGCGCAGTCCAGAGAAAAGCGGTAAACACGTACAGAGCCTATTCTATTATCCCGTACTAGGACATTATAATTTAATAGGACTAAGCAGTGTACTGTGGATAATTCCATTTAAAAGCATTTCAGGGCCTGGAGATGTAGCTCAGTGCTAGCTTGCTTGCCTAGCAAGGGTGGGGCATTGGGTTCAAGCCTCAGAGTCACAAAAAGAAAATGACATTTCAGATGGAGGAATGCTGTGTAAACTATGGCCTGTGTCATTTAAAATTATTTTAAGATCAATTAATCATTAAGTATTTAATGAATGTACATATTCAAAGAAGCTGTATAGGATTAGGCTACTGTTCCTACATATAGCTCCTACTAAACTTCCTACATTCACAAAAGGCTTTTAAAAGTTTTGGCAAGATTAATACATGGAAAGAGTTAGTCATTTAAGCATCAATAGATTAGCATAATCCTCATGGGAGAATCAAGACAGGTCAAGGTAGGTTTGTGCACTTTGGACCAAAGTATTAGGTAACCTGCTTGGTCTATTCGCTGGGTGATGCAGCACCATATGAAATGGTGTAAAAGACAAACATTCACTAGAATGGTAACAGCAGGAGGCTAGATGAGGTAATGGGCTGAGTGTGGACTATAGAGGTTTAGAGAACAGGACTGACTTACATGGAGCAGTGAGATCTGATCTCCATAGAAAGGTTCCTTGAAGGGCTTGCACCCCAGTGATCATATCTAGATTGAGCTCTGCACAGTAGGACAAAAGTTAGGATGCTGAAGAGCACCACATTAGAGGAAGCAAACAAATAGAAGCAAAAGAGAGGTAAGTAGGAGACCCATGATAAAGGTTTTTGATGATTGAGACTTAGGAGGATGGAAAATGGACAATATGTGAAGATAAATTGAAAGGAAATGATTAGCATGATAAGCTGTTCAGTTCAATCACAAGAAAAAACAGGACTATATTTCAGACGTGTGTCTCAGTGGAAAAATGTGCCATATTTACTAGGTAAGTCTCTTGTTTAAATTGCGGTTTCATGTCCCCAACTAGTTTTCATAACAATCCTCTCAGGCATAAAATAAATATAATCTCTGAGTTTTCAGGGTGTAAAGAGTAACTTAAGCTACAGCAGCCATACTTGTGGTGGAGCAGTCCCTGTCAGCCATATTCCAAGCCATTCCCATTCCTCTTTAGTCCCCTAAACCTGATTGTGTTTGGGAATGTGATACCCTAAAACAAAGAAAAGCATAACTGGTTAAAGTGTGTGTTGTCAATCCTTGTCCTTTTCCATTAAATATTGTAGGTGTGAGTGTGAGAACCATTGCTGACTAATGTGATTTGAGAAGACGTCTGGGAATCACTTTTTCCCTGATTGAAAAAAGCAGAAGGCTTTTTCTACCTGAGGCTCTTGGCTGCTTAAAGATGGATGGCCACCTTTCCAATGGGGAACAAGACATTGCTAATAGGGAGACGCTGATAGGGGAAGACAAGCGGGAACCTAGACCCTTGGTTTCTTATCTGAGCTTCCAAATCAGGTCTGCACTTCCCATTCAATCACCAGTGAATATCCTACAGTTTATGCAGCTCTCACTGGGTTATCCTGTTATTTATAAGTAAAAACCACTAAGAGTGTACGCCAGACTAAAGGATGAACTAGAGAAACTAAAACCAAGAGACAGATTAGTTGCAAATGTAAGAAAAGAACAAAAATTGGGTACCATTGTGGGTTGGATCCAAGTTAGAAGCCTTTCAAACACACACAAAAGTTGCAGTGAACATCAAAGACAAAGAAGATAGAGAAAATAGTACTCAGATAATGATAAAGAGGCTTATTTACTGAAAACTTGGAGAGAAGAGTTTTAGCAGTATAATCAAGTGAGTGCCAGACCACATGGAATTGTGTGTGAAATTGGGGTAAACAGCATGCAAATATCAGGTTCACCTGATTGCAGTGTGCTAACTGTATGCGGAAGGGGCAGATGGGTAGCCAGGCGTGTTTCAACCAGAAGCTTCTAAGACTTTAGGGCTGAGCTAGGGATTTAGCTCAGTGAGGCAGAGCCTGCCTGGCAAGCACAAGGTTGTGAGTTCGATTTCCAGTACCGGAAAAAACAACAAAAAAAGACTTTAGGGATACATTGTAAGATACGAAAAGAGCTTCAAATTCAGTATGTTCCCACTTGTTAGGTTAATTGTAGATTTTCCTTCTCTTTCTTATCTATATTGTTCATGTTGTCTGCAGGAAACACTAGAGTTTTTTAATCATGAGAAAAAATCATTTTGAAGTGTAATCATACTTTTAACAGAATATAAATATAAAATTTGTGTCATTGTTTCTAAAGCAAAAGGTTCTTATTGTTATCTCATGCATGAAAAAAAAATGGTTGTTAATATTTTTTCTGAGCAAAATAACACACTTTGGGGCATAATGTTTTTCGTTAATTTTTAAAAAGCCTTAAAAGGAAAAGGACAACTGCAAGATTTTTGCTTTTTTGTGCTAACTCATGAATAAGAAACTGGATGAATTTTAGTTTTTGTTTTATGTGTTTTAAATCAAAGTAGGACAAATAAATTCAAATGAAATCTTATGAAAACAAGAGAATGGACTACAATTGTCTATTCCACATCTCACCTTGGCACAAATCAAAATTGCTTAGTTAACCTAACTCTTGAAAAACAGAACCTATAATGAAAAAGCTGTACCTCTGCCAGAAGCCTGGATAACGGGAAGGTTGCTCAGTTACCGAGAAAGAAAAGGTAAACTCTGGTGAATAAAGTCCAGAAATGGTGAAAATAATATTTCAGTTTGTTTTATGACTTATGTAATAGCTCTCAGAACATTTCTGAGAAACAAGTTTATACTTAGCCTAATATAAACCAATCAGAATCATATCTTTAGGGTAGCTGAGAACCAATGGGAGGAAAGCTAACCCTGAAGGACAACAGCTTCTTCTTGTCTCACGAGTATCCCTCTAAGGCTTGAAGCAGGAGATATTTAGCATTAGAGAAGGAAATCTTGGGATCTACTTTATCTTCACCTAATAGCTATGATAAGACTCAGAAAACTTACAGGACTCTATTTAATTATGTTTAGTTTTCATATATGTTGAAAACAGGCAATTAAAGTATTTCACACATTCATAAGCCTTACCCCTATTTACTTGAGATACTGTATCAATTGTCAAGAAGGTATAAATAGAAAATATATTGAGACATTTCAGTAATTTAAAATGTTATCTTCAATTTTTCATATTTATAAATAATTTGTGAGTCCACTCTCCTTGAGTCTAAGTCATTTTCTTGCCTAACAATGCATTTTAGGTTATTAAGTACATGTAAATATTAAGCAACAAAATATTCACTTTCAAAAACTAGTGTTAAGACTATGCC